GTGAAGATGAATGGAGGTTGGTTGAAGAGTTAACTAAAATTTTTGAGCTGTTTGACCAGGCAACTGAAGTATTTAGTGGCAAAAAATATCCAACTTTGTCTGTTATATATCTGGTTATTAAAGTTTTGAAGTCTGAATTTAATTTAGATTTATTTATTGAACCAGATATTGATGAATATGATATTATTCAAGTTTATATAGCTAAACTAATTCTAGTATTACGTATTATTATTATTTGAATGATTTATTTTTGTATTTTTTTAGAATTTGATATAAGTAATTATAGTGAAAGTGATGATAACAGTAAAATGATAATGCCAGTAATCAGCCACCAAGTATTCTCCTATTCAATCTGTAATTTTACAGGTCAAACAAGAAATTCATAATTCTCTCCAGAAATATTGGGGAATTCCAAACAATGCAGGTCTTTTAGCGATATTACTAGACCTAAGACTCAAGACAATATGTCCTTGGCCTAACCATATACAAGAAAAAACTATTAGATTATGTTGTGAAGAACTTGATACTATTGTCAATAATAGACCTTTATCTACTGCTTCTCCTCCGGCTACTACTTCATTAACCAACCAATATTTTGCTTCAATTTTTCAAGATAACTATAGTAATAGTGATTTCACAGATAATGAACTAGACAGATATATGGATATTAAAAGAGTTCTTGTTGCCCTGCCTGATAAATCACCTCTAGAATGGTAGAAAAAAACATGAGAAAGACTTTCCAGGTTTGAGTTAGTTGGCAAAAAATATTTAGCAATACCGGCTATCTCGGTACCAACCAAGCGCTTATTGTTCGATACTAGAAATCAAGTAACTCCAAAATGTGCTTGTCTTGATTCAGAAACTGTTTCTCAAATATTATTTTTAAAAAGAAACAGTTATTTAATTGACATTATAAAGATTAACTTTATATAATTATTATATATTAAATTTAAATATATAAAATTTATTTAAATAAAGTATTAAATGAAGCCAGACAAAAATAAGTTAGTATATGAAATTACACATATTTTCTTAAAAGCTGGAAGTACAGATAAATATTAATCAAATTTTGACTCTATATTAGTATTTCTTTTCTTTGTCATAGCAGGGTATTTATGTTATTAATAGATTCCTTAATAAAAAAATCTTTAACATAAGTTGAAAGCCCATAGCCACTAAGGGTAACTTATGATGCCTTGTCTATTACCAGCCAACATAGTACATTTTATAATAAGCATCAAAAGCTTATCCTTAAATAATAATACAAGCATTGAGTTGAAAAATTCATAATATAGTTTTTTTTTTTTTTGTTCCTGTGATCACCATAAATAGATATCCATATAAAAAAAGAATATTAAACTTTGTGGTTGTTGTTATTAATAAGGTCTGAGTAAAAGAACTTACCTGAACTATAATCCTGTGATATTTCACTTTAAAAAAACTCAGCCTGCTATGGTAATTAATTAATTTGGGTTAAACACTTTGTATTCTTAATTTGGCAAATAATCTGCTGCAGGGTATTAGTAATAAACCGGATAACCTGAAATCATATATTTATTTGGGTAAATTCGAGTAATTCGGTTTATAATCTGGTTTGTTATCTATAAAAGGGTGAATAACCTGGGATTAAAATTTATGACAGGTACAATCTCTATCTATATAATTAGAATTTTGAATCAGATAAAAATTTAGATAATAATTCTATTACAAATTTTAAAAACAAGAATTCTATTTCTAAAACTTCAAATTTATCTCCAAATGAATCTTTAATAACAAAAAATATTTTAGAAATTCATAAAAAAATCATTGTCTTATTTATAACTGACCTTGTTTAAATAAAAATAGTAATAAAGAAAACTATATCAAAATCACATTCATGATATTTTTAATTTGGGCATCTGAAATTATAAGAGAAATTTTTTATTGTCATATACTTATTTTTATTCATTATATTTGAATTAACTTTTACTGCTTTTATTATATATTTTCTTTAACTATTATGAATTTTCAAGAAAATAACTATGTAATTTATATATTTTTTGATTTTTATAAAGAATAAAGTGATAGTATCACTAACTAAACTATCTACATATCCAATATTCATATATAAATATTAGTCAAAAAAAGATAACCTTTAATATTATCTTCAATATTACTTTCAGCACTGCTTTCAGAATTATTACAAAATCTTTACTATTATTATTATTATAAGATTCTTTATCTTCTACAATACAAGTATCTTCACTTTTAGTATCATTACATATTACTCTATCTTCAATACTATCTTTAGTATCACTACAAGCTACTATATGTTATCATCAGCACTATTACAAGCTACTTTGCTATTAGCACCATTACAAATTTTTTTTATATTTAATACTATTATAATCAATATTCCTATCACAATCTAATTTAATATATTAGCCAAATTTTTTTAATATCTAATATATTCAGGACAATTCTATATTCTATCACCAATTTATAATCTATTTGTATTATATTTTCTGTCACAATTTCATAGAATACCTTTTTAAGTATCTATTCAGCTATCTTTATAACCAAGTTTTAAACCTATACTTGATGATTTTTTAAAGTATATTAATAAATATGAAGGTACTAAAAATTATTATCAAGGATTTTTATTAAAATTTCAGCAACAGAAAATCTTTATATAATTGCTTTCTAAACTATCAAATAAAAACTTTGAAAAATATAATATAGATATGATTGGTATATAGCAAACTCTTTGCAATTATACTACAAGATACAATATATATTTTATATTATTAAACAATATATTTTCTATAAAAAAAACCTTTACTTATAATCTGCTGTATTAAAAAAATTATTAGAAAATTTAGAAATAATTTAGGAGCATGCAACTAATAATAGATATTTTAGATTTAAACAACTTTCTACAAAATACTAATATTTTTTTAAAAAACTTTTTATAGTTAAGAAAGCTAATTCTATTAGATTAAGATTAGAAAAATATGAAGAAAAGAACTTAATATGTACACCAAATACATTTAAATATTTTAACAATCTGTTGTCATGATATATTTTAATATTATTAAGTATTATATTTATAATTTGTATAAATAAATACTATTATTATAATTATATACCACTTGAGTAATTACA